TTGCTCGAGAGAAATAAAAGCCCTCATTTCGATGCTGGCCTCGATTGGAGCGTCTCGGCTCCCTGGTTGGGGTCCGAAAGTGACAGCTCTGCGAGAAAGCTGATTGACATCGCGCGCGTGTTCTCCACAAATCATGCTTGGGACAGATCCTCCGTACGTATTACCAGGGTCCAGTCGAAAGTTGATGAAATCGCGCATCAGACAGCATGCTTGTTGCCAAGATCTGACCGGAAGCTGATGAAATCGCGCGTCAGACATCACGTGCGTTGCCATACCCGGGTAGGCGGATGAAGACTGGCGTGCCCGAGCAAGACGGCGAACTGACCAGACGGTGCGGGCAATGAAGTGTGGATCGTGGGCTTACCGCCAAATCCGCCAGGCGATGTTTAGAGGATTGGTGAGACCGACATATAAATATGAGCGTTCTCGGTACTAATACAACTCCGGCCTGCTGAGTCTTCCTGTCGAGTTTGTCAAGGCGTCAAACAGAGCAGGCGTAAGGGCGCAGATTTACCAGAAGGCGTAAATCAACCGGTCGATCGCGGGTACAGTGTTATAACAGAAAGACACTGAACACGTTTGGCTGGATACACTTGCTGACATGGCTAGGGGCCGACCTTAATGGCGTTTGTGTTGTGAGTTTCTTTGTTTCACCCCATTCTTCTTAGCCGCTCCCTCCAACCACGATCTCTTTTCTTAGTTTAATATAATGTTGCATAATAGATTTTTTTACCGCATAGTAGCCGGCTGGTGGCTTTCCACGATGCCCATGCCTTAATGATAGCTCAGCTGGCATGTATTTGTTGCATTTTTCCTTTTTCTTTTGTTATGTATTGCAACACTGTTGCTGAGGTGGTTCCCACCTCTAGTTAACGTGTAAAAAAAATTCTGCCTGTGATTACGATGTTCGTGTGAATCATCGTATTGATTGTGGGTTGCTGAACATCCGTCGTTTCGGGGCGAGAACCCTTGTGTGTGAATTAACCATCTGTATGTTGCTGTTTACGGAGGAGTGCGTGTTGTTTGCCCACATTGCGGATGAGTTGCAGCACATTGCATTGGCTTTCGCCTCGACATCGGCCAAATTCGGGTTCACCATCAACACAAGCAAGACTGTTTGTCGTTTCCACCCTTCACCAGGTATGGGATTTTTGGGCCTGCTTCAAATCCAGGCTGCCGATGAAGTGTTGGGAGCGGCAACTAACTTTTGCTACCATGGGAGTATGATGTCTGCCGACTTGCAGATCTCGAACGAGCTGCGCAGCCGTGTATCGAAGGCGGCTTCTGTTTTTGCCCAACTGGAGGGATGGGTGTGGAACAACCATCGGCTTACTGTTGGTACGAAGCTGATGGTATACTAGTCGATGGTGTTGTCCATTCTTCTATACGGCAGCGAAACGTGGAGGATGTATCGGAAGGTTGTCAGGTATATAGCGCTAATTTATCAACATTGTCCGCGACGGATTCTGCGCATCGGTTGATGCGGCGTTGGTGCAGACACAGAAGTGCTGCGCCGCAGTGGCTTGTGTGCAGTGGACGGCTGCGGCACCTGAGTTGGCTGTTGCATATCAGCCAAATGAATTCGACGAGGATACCCAAACAGCTTTAGTACGGCCAACTTAATGCATGGAAGCGCACGTTGGCAAACCAAAGTTACATTACCAGTACGTGATCAAGGTGAGTTTATCACGAAATGATGTTGATTTCAGCCGTGCTGTATCGAAGTCATTTGATCGGTACGAATGACGTGATTTGATCAAGAGGGCGGTTGCTCAGCTGCAGGAGAAAGCACTGATGCGGGCAAGGAGTAGCACCGGGTCCAGAGGCGACAGGCGCCGATGGAGTCTACCCCATCGACGTGCGGTCGCGACTGCCTGAGCCAAGCAGGCTTAGTAAGCCGCCAGCGTTGCCTTGTTGGACCAGTATCCATATGAAGAGGAGTTATTATATGCTTATATCTATTATATGCTTATTATATAAACATAATTAACGCAGCTATTGTAGGTGCTCTGCGTCCGCATCCATTCTAGTTTACTAACCCAGGCCAATTGGGCGGTTGATGTGGTACGTGTACCCCATCGTCGTTGCAGTTGGTCTGCGTGTTGCGTTTTTTGTATTTCATGGGTTGGTTGTTGACTGATATTCCCCTTGTGGGCTGCACTTGCTGCGACTCTTGACGAGGCACATAGCTGTCTATTATCCACTACCTAGTCTATACTGGCTCCACTGGATGCTTGGTCGGAACGGGATGCACGTTCCTCGTGAGGGTGATAGGCTCTAAAAGTGATTCCATGCATCCAGTGTGGAACGAGCCACGACCCAGACACCGCCTTGTTTATGTCTGGTACTCAGGATTTCCCAGTTAGACATGAATGTTTCTAATGTGCCTGTTGAAGAAGTGTGGGCTGGCTCCATTGATGAAACTTGGCTCCCATCCACATGCGTCACGGTTTTATTCCTTTGGGTTTACACTGGATATGGAGTGTGTGGATAGAGCTGTGATTGGCGCAGCGCAAGCCATCCATGGTCCCTCTGTAGGTGCAGGCGTCCTGTGGCTTTCTTTTGGAGATCGTAGTGACAGGCAACTCCGGAAACGGATGCGACCAGTTACACTACCTGCTCTGAAAAGTGGACAGCGTACGTTGCCCAACTCAGCTACTGCTTGCATTTGGTTCGTTATGACAATTTAACACCAACAAGGGCTAATGAAATGGTGATATTCGAACAGCATGCTTGTTTCATACATAGCAACAGCCTTCATAAAGTGAAGCGCGAAATCCAGCCACTTTCTACGGTTAGTTGGTACACACATGCATCTAGAGAGAGGGACAGTTCCTATCCTCCAAAGCATGCAAAACTCGAACACTATTTCCATTTTTATTATTCCACCATTTTGTTTTATTATCGACGCATTCAATGCAGAAACGGTAATAAAACAAGCCGCTATCCTTGCGTACACGCATCTCTTTTGGATCGGGTAGGATTCACCCTGCAAGTAGCAACCACGTACCTAACCGAACCACTTGCCAGATTCTTTCAGCGCTATCTGGACGAGAATCTATTTCCTATGGAGTGAAAGTGAAATATCACCCTTGTTCATAATGGAGCAAGTCAATCTAAGCCTAGTAGTTTCCGGTTGGTAGCGTTTCTTCTTGTGCTCTCCAAAGTAATGGAAACCATCATTGCGGATGCTACAGTATCATCGTCATCGATCATGCACCACGTATCTGCTGAGAGCACGTGACAACGACATTACCGGTCGACAAGGGGACAGGAACCGATTTCGTCTACTTTGACTTTGCAAAAACATTCTATCGCCTTGGATCATCGTATCCTATCTCATAAGCTTCGGAAATATTGCACCAGGGATCCAGAATTGAGATGCACCGGTAACTCTTTCCGCGAGTCCGAACATAATAGTCCATTCCATTTCGAGTGGAGTGCGGCGTACCACAAGGCTCAGTACTTGGGCATCGCTAGTCTTCACTAAGGATCTAGCGAAAGTTCCTGCTCAAAAAGTTTTACTCTGCGGGCAACGTCAAGGATTTATGGGCCATCGGGGGACTGAATGGGCACGGATCCTTCAGTCCGACCTTGATGAGACCTGGGATTAGTTGGGGATTGATGAGCTGCCATTCAATATGGACATATGCCTAGTTGTTCATATCCACTACCAACAAATCTGCATCTGCAAGTTTGGAGCGTACGATCTGAAGTTCAACTCAAAAGTTTAAACTCGGTGTACTCGTACACTGAGCATCGTTTCAGAAGGCTTGGTGAACGATCGATTAATATATTTGTTAACACAACATCTCACCTTTGACACATAATTTTAGGACTAAGGTTTTATGTCGAGAACGAAATTTGTGCTTATATTAACCGATCGTTCATCAAGCCTCCTGATATGATGATTTTCCGATCCGTCCCAAGTACATTCCTATATATCGAAGGTAACCAGGATGTTGCTCTCTTGCGGAGGACACCCAGGAGTATGGATTCATCCATCTTATAAATGCCTACTTGTGTCCCCAAATCGAATACACTGTCCAGACTTGGCAACCTTGGCTAAAGCGTGACCACGCATCGCTCGAGCCTACAACATTGGGCAGTGGGAATGTCGGTTTGCGGCATCTTCTGTGTCAGGAAAGACTGAGGAAACTCGTAGTGTTCAGTGGACGCTTCCGGCGGCTACGTAAGAACTTCATAATTGTATGCCAACTACGAAATGATTCCATTCACTTATGTCACCAACCTTTGAAACTCAACCCCAACACTAACCGTCGATGCGGTAGCTTGCAATTAAGTCAACAAAACAATCTAAGAACTTTCGTTTTCTTTCCGAGTCTACCTACCCTCGAACCCCCTTTTCATACTCAGTTGTCTGTCTCCACAATAACCATCTCCAATAACACTTGGATATGGCTGAGCTCCCTACACTTTATAATGTGTTGGGACACTCTGGAGTGTATTCCGGCTCACTAGCTTTTTGTGATTACAGTCTACACTGGTGCACGTTCATCAGTGCAAGTAACTGAGCAATCCGATTGTTCTTCACAATAAACATTAAGCTACAATTATTTCTTACTTCGTTTTGTTTGCTGCCATCTAATTCCTACCACCTTGCTTCTAAGGTACCGAAGCTGTGCCGCTTTATCTACGCACATTTTATTTTGTCTTCTAATTTGCAACTCCTTCCCTTACCGACCCACGTGACTTGTTAAGCCTATGCTTTTTTACCCGTCACAACCCATTGTTTTTCTGCATTGCGAGTCAAGTCAACTGGATTCACAGAGTTATACACACTGTTCATCATTGTTTTTGTGGAATAAATTGCATCGTCTTCCGTCAAAAGTACCGTGACCTTGATAGACAAAACTTCATCTTCCCTGGCATTCATTTACGTTGGGTGTCCTTTAGCATACCCGTTTCTCATTCATGTTCATGGCAATTTACCCTCCTCAATTCATTTTCTTCACTCTTCCCTAAACTTGCTCTCCCAGTGCTGTGCTCTGCTTGATGCGCTCGGTGTTCCGTGGATTCAGAGTCCCGGGGAGGCTGAGGCTATGTGTGCTTTGCTCAACTCCTCCAAGGTACGTGTCTACACAATACACCAAATGGTCTGCTCGTTTGTGCCAACTTTTCATCGTCTTTCACAATCCACTTCCATTGACTTGAACTGTAGGCCCCATTGTGTTGTTCTCGCAACCGTATAGAATGTTACCTATGGAGCAGTTACCACAAGTCACTTTTTGCATTTTTGATGAACTGGTGTAAGCGCGTTTTAACTGAACTCTTCCCTTATACTCACCTCCACGATCTCTTATATACTGGACACATTCACTTATACTGACTGTACCAATTGGACACCCGTCCAGTAGCTGAAATTCTCTAAGAACATCGGTTTCCTCTCTCTCTCTGTCCCGGTTTTGACATCATCAACAACAACAGCATCAACAGCAGCAGTATATCAGCCAGTTGACCTGGTGCTTCGGTGCCATACAACCATGATGGTTTATGGAATAAAAAGTAATAAAAGGGAGAGAAGGGGGCTTACTTAAAACCTTAATGCTGTAAGCAAACATTCAGGTTCATGGCGCCTACACCTTGTGTTAACTACATACCGTTACAAACAGCTGGCTATCGTGCAGAGTTAAGGCGACATCAGTGAGACAACTTCGTTGCGCCTTTCACTGTCCTGCGTCACAATCATCCATTACCCCGCAGGTACCTCATCACCAAACACACTTTAAACAGGTGGTCCGACGACAGCAGACGCGCCACCGGTGTCGGCTGCGATCTTTTGTGATGGGGGCTGGCAATTCTGGTGATTGGAAATGCTGTTAGGCCGATTAAACGTCACTGGCCAGATCGATAGGCAACGAGCATGTTGCTTTAGGCAGATTGGTCAGGCAATCAGGAAATCGTTGGCCAGTGATCGCGGCCCTCCTGCAACCATCCACTGAACGTGCAAGTGATAAATCAGGCGCCAACAGGCGAAGGAGCGCATACTCGTGCACCTTTGAGTCAAGGCTTGTGGCATTGGACCTAGGGAAGAAGCGCGCGGGCCTAATCCCGTCAATCGTACATCTACTAACAAAGTCAGGGTGATTTTACACAGAGTGAGCGTGATGAGCAAGCATAAACCAATGGAAAAGAAGCCATCGACACAATGCAAATAACCGAGATGAGCCATTGAAACGGACTGTTGTTAATAGTGTATATACTCTATAAATATTCCAGCGTAATCTTAATAAACGACTTCGTGATCGCAGCCCAGTCTTCTTGCTTCCCGGATGGCAACGCGACATCCATGTCCTGTTAACTCTCGAGCTAAGCACAAGGCGAGTCATGTAGATTCCAGACCGGAAGGCGAGACGGACTGACGGTACCGGGTTTGGTCGTCAGTGACTTCATTTCCCGCTGCTAAGTCATTTTTTGTCCCCCCCCCCTCCAGCCTTGCGCTACCCTATATCTGGCAGACAAAACAAGACCCTCCTCGGTAACCGGTGTCTAGGCATACGTAGTACGTGTCCCAGCCAACACAACTTATTCAGTGTTTTGACATCAGTCAGACTGTGACACGTTTTGCAATTTCCGCTACTTGGACCACATTGTTGGCAACCCAAATACACTTGACTTCTAGACGAGACTTCAGATGATGATTTCACGTACTTCCAACACCATGCATGCATATCACTACTAATCACTGCGTGACGTTCGCTACCATTTCGTCGATCTTTCACACTGCTCTCGTTCGTTGATGTGGCGCACACTCCACCTCCCGCTAGACACCGTGCTGCACTATAATGTGGAGTAAACCGGGCTCGCTGGCGACTAACATACTGTTCCACACACCAGTATGATTCATCGCCAATTGTTTCATTGGGGAATAATTTGCATATGCACGAGTTATTGCAAATTGTGGTTACCTCTGTTGATGGCTAATTATCACTCACTTTTCATAGTCGTTGTTTCCTTCACGCATGCTTACGGTATTAGTGCTTAGCGTTACGTTACCGCGGTTTTTCGCTCCATGCTTCATACGACTCAATTCATTTTCTCATGTGAAGCCCAAATCGCTCATTTGGTCCAGCACTGGAAGCATGAAAAAAGGAAATGTCACTGCACTACTACTCCGAGTTTGGCACTCCACTTGATCGGTGTTTGCTCCTGAGCCAATCACCGCTCTAGTCAGTTTTGTGTTTGGTAACCCCAACACGTTGAATTTTACAACACAAATCATGCCACGTCTCAAAAGCGTCATTTTGATTGTTTTAGGTATGCGCGTTTCTGTGCCGATATTCAGGTCCGTTTCCGGCTGCAGCTACTGCAGCCTTCATTAGTTTCATCCGTCATCACCACACTGTCGAAGAGAGCCAATAACATTAATGATACTATACTCTTCTCCTTTGATACATTCGATCTTTCGGCTTGATATTGTTGACAGCAACGAACCACATTCCGTCGTGCTACCACGTTTCCTTTGTGTATCCATGAAATAAACATTCGATTGAAAATCACTTGCTTGTTAATGATCCATCTTGCAACTCGGATTAGATTTCATTCTTCCCCAAGTTCATCACTTAAAGTAGACTCCTTATATTACGTCTCGTGTCCGGAGTAGTATCTTGCATGATATGCTCACCTAATCAGCTCATCACTTATAATAACGGAAGTATGACTTCTTGCGAATATATCTTCTAACAACTGCAGAGGTTTTCTGACTCAACTGCACTACAACGATTTCTGCCTAGCATTCGAGCTTTTTCGTCTAGAAAAGTAGTCCGTTGAAAATGTCTTTTACTGCGTGTTATTGACAACATTTGTCATCGCACACTTGTTTTAGCCATCTTCTATCGACCGATTGTCTCTGTACGTACATTACGAGTATTTTTTCAGTTATCTATCCTCTTTCTTTCGGAGCGTAGAAGCTTTAATTTGATATGGTCTCTCCGTTTTAGCTAGTGATCAAACTTTCCATGTGTTGTCTCCTGAAAAGGCAAAAGACCAGAGTAACAACGGAACGTATGTATGAGGCTGTCTGCACATGCGCGCCTTGCAATAAAATGAGTATACGCATACAGATACAACCAACCAGATGCAAGAACACATGGCTGGTCCAATGAATGTGAAGTTCGCGGCGTGGGTGGTGTGAACGAATCTTCGAAAACCTCTATGCACTACGTGTTCATGTGCGATCTATTTTAACATTGGCACCCTGATGAAGTATCATTTTGTAGCATCAAATGATAATTCTTATCAAGGCGTCTCGATAGACAGGGCGACGTATCCGACCGGATCGTCCTAGGTTTGTATTAGTTTGTATTGCGCGCTGTATTGTAGGTCTTTGTTCAACTGCACGTTGGGAAAGCGCTGTATGCAGCCGCCTTGAATTCACCCTTGTTCCATCAGACAACTTGTTAGTTCTTGGTGTTTACACAGATCCACGGTCTGATCACTTAAATTCCTTTCCTGGAATAGGGGGTAGCTTCACACGAACAAATGTCCCTGAAGCATGGGTTTTCCCGACGCGTCTTTACTTAATCTGGCGGACTGCACTGGTTGCAGGACATGATTTATCATTTGCACGGTGTTCAGTATTCCCACAACGGTAACGCTTATTCTTAACTCAGGATCGCATCAGCGAGCGTGTGGAATCCAGACGGGCAATTTCAGTAGCTCCTGTTAGAGAGGCAAATTTTGTTTTGTTACGTGACTGCGACCTTTGCGCGAGCCACGTCACAGGCCCTGCCCCAAGGGAGATTTTCTGCGTTTCCAAATAACAGACTGATCTGTGAATCGTGAGGCCAGAAATCAACTGTTGTGTTAGCGTAGTTTCCTCCACTTTCTTTTTGGGAATACTCTCGTAGTCACACTTTCGATCAGAACAAAGGAGGTGAGAAATGAAAGCATCCACTGGTTCACCAGATGCTTGTTTCAGCTGCGAAAAATTGTACCGCGAGATCTGCGTATTCACTCGAATGCCCCAATGTTTACCCAGGGCCGATAAGACATCGTTTAACCTTGACTTCTCCCGAAGGTTTAGAGCATCACATTTACATCGACCCTCTGAGCCGAGGTGCAAACAAAGACGCTTCAAAGTATCCTCTGTTTTCAGCATCACGGATGGATTGAGAACTGACAGCACAGAAATATAATCCGAAAAACCGATTTTCCAACCTTCCCAGAATTCTGCATCTGTAACCGCAGGGTAAGTCCAGGACGGAGAAGGAGCAGTAGCGAGCAACAATCTAGGTACCACGCGACGCCAATTTCTTGTGTCCGGAAAGGGCAGAGGACCAAGGTAGCAATGAAACGTATGTATGAGCCTGACTGCACATGCGCCCGTTCCAATAAAATAAATAGGCGTATACACATGCAGTCAACCAGATACAAGAGTACATGGCCAGTCCAATGAATGTGAAGTACCCGGCATGGGTGGTATAAACGAATAGACAACAAGCACCAATCAACTTAAGGGGACAGGACATCATGCATTCCTGAAATGAGGAGCATAGCAAATCTATTGACTAGTGCATATCGCACGACCATTGTAGACAATTCCATTTATGCGAGTTCAGTTGCTCCTCCATTTTTGACCACACTAGTTAGCTTCTATCAGCGCATCCCGTGCTTAGAGTTCACGGTTTCCTTTTTTTCGTTTCCATTTCAACTGCTCTTACCACGCGTGTAATATTTCCCTTGTTGGGGTTCCTTCTCGTTAATGATTCCTCCTCATTAATTTCTCTCAGTACGTCGATGCATGTATAACAAATGACGGTGATGTCTTCCTCTACGGTGCCACCACAGTGTATCGACACTTCACTATGGACACTCGAGTAAGTGCCTGATGGTGAACCATCACGTGTGTTATACTACTTACTTCTTCCATATTTGCATTCCCGTCGCTATGCGACGATGAAAATTGCGTCTTACGCTGCACGCTTCTGTCTACCGCTGGATGCGGTCACCGAAAATTTCAACGGATATGCAACTTGTCAATGTTAGTTACTATGGGACATTAACACCACGGGCCTCTCTGCCTTACGGAATGTTAAAGCGACTGCGCACCATTACGCTGAATGCACGTGTTTACGGGAGTGCATTGTGCACCAAATTGGCACTCTCTAGCCTGTCATCCGTAATGCATTGCTTTAAGCATAAAAAACGACCTATCTCCATGAAAGACCCACTGGTGGGGACAAAATGTTAGACCCCATCCGACTGGAGAATTATCGCCAAACGATAACTCGCCGGATGCATGTTTGATGTTTGACTACGCGCGCGGCACCTCTAGACCAAATAACTGTAAAGAGGATGCACACAGTTAATGCTGATTTGATAGGTACAGGCTGTGTTTGACATACTGACTGATTTAACACACCTGTTAATCTTCCTTACTTGGCTTCCATTTCTTTCACTTGTATACTCGCTGCGCTGCATCATTAGAGTCCATTCCAATACTTTCCTTCCCGTCGTAACGAGACTGAACTTTAGCCTAATGCGACAGTTTGCGTACCTCTTTGACCCACTGAGCTTCACTGGGTGGTGTACCCGGACTCCTTGAGAGCCACTCCTACCAGGTTAATCAATGCTTAGGGGTCAGGCAAACTCAGTCTCCCGGTCCTCCCAGTTGGGGGTTTGCAATACGATGGCGTCCATTTCTGTAAAATCGAATAGCTGCCACATCCGCTGTCATGCGGATAGGCATTTTAGCCAAAGGCTTTGTTTGAGGACCCTATTCGTCCTCCTGTTTAGGTCGGGGCGTCATGTCAGTATCTCAGCTCTCGTGCAACCATGACTGCTTCAAACCTCAACCATATCCTGCATCGGCCGTCGCACAGCTTATCAAGGGTCGCCTTATCTGCTGCATACAACAGGGCGGATAAGCGAAAACATGCTACTGCTGCCACCTCCCTTTTTCTTTCCACCCGTTTCTCTTGTTCCCCTCCCCATCCCCATTACTAACCTACATCCTGTAATTCCAAGTTTAATTAAAAGCAACCGTAATGCCACTGAAGTCACACCGTCTGCATCTACCTTTCTACACCACCCACTGGACGCATGTCACCAACAGCCATAATAAGGATACTGTGTTCCGTTTCCCTGGCGGCGTTCAACGTTCGCACTCCACGACAAATAGGTCAACAGGCTGCACTCGCACGCACGCTGGACAAACTGTGGATTGACGTGTGTTGCGTATCCAAAACTTGGATCAATGACCCTCACTTTGTTGCTGAATTAACTGCGTCCGGCTTGTTCACTGGCTATTGGTTGCATGCATCCGAAAACGTTGATGCGGCAACCACTAGTCGAGCTGGGGTAGGCATTGTTCTCAGCTTCAAGACTATATCCTCGTTGATTGATGGGACTTCACTGAGCAGCCGTTTGTGCGCTGTCCGTTTGAAGAAATCAACTAAGGTTGAGTAACGGTAACATTACACGCTGTTTGTTTGTGGTTTTCGCTTACGCTCCCACCGATTGCAGCCCTGGTGCTGCGATGCACACTTTCTACCGCGAACTGCAAACGCTTTTACGCGCCGTTATCAGTGCATATATTCTAGTTTTTGCAGGGGATTTGAATGCGCAAGTAGGTCATCAGCTCTTCAGAAGCCTTGCTAAGTGGTAAGTATGCTTAACACCAAACGGACCGACAACGGTGGGCGTCTTACAGGTGTGTGCGGAGCACCGACGTTAGACATTGAGCGTCGAAGTGCCACTTGACGTCCTGTAGCTGACCAGTGATGGACCCAAATTGATCACATTACCATAAGTTACAGGTGGCGTGGTTCCATCTTGTAGTATCGCTCGTTCCGGAGGACTTGCGTCGACTCTGATCATGGCTTGCTACGCTGTCATTTTGCCATGACCTTTACCAAGCGTCTCTTTCGATTGGCAACGGAGACATTGTCCCAGCCCTCAGTCAGGCAAGCCTACCAGGATGCTCTGCGTACCGAACTTTCGCTCCCTTGTCCTAATGACACTGAGCTTCAGTGTAATAAGAACTCGGCTGCTTAACACGACGCAGGAGCATCTGCCAACGTTATTACCGTCACCATACCACATCCGAGAGGTCGGTGAACTTATTACCATCCAGAAGAAATCTCCCTGCTGGCTCGGAGCACAATGTGGCCAAAGGGGCTATTAGGCGCCAATTAAAGCGCAGCTTGCATGCCGACAAGGAAACCTGGTGGACCAGTCGGGCTCAAGAAGTGGAACAAGCAGTATCAATAGACAATTATTACAAACTCTTGCAGCTGATCCGCATCACAGGTCTCTGGAAACCAGGTGTCAGCGAAACATTCAAAGGTAGTGTAGGTTTGCCACTTCACAATAAAGAGCGCTGTATAGCTACTTGGGCGGAGCAGTTTAATTACACCCCTGTTACTGGACCTCTTCTTACTCAGGTGTTGCAGGGTGAGCCATGGCGAGTTCAGATGACAGTTGAACTGTTCTCTGAGCTTGGCCATTTTGTTGCAAACGTTTCGACACCAATCAAGGTGACATCATTAGTGCGCTCCTCTGCGCCACTGCACGCCACGCAACTACGCATTGATTATGTCACCCGATTAGCGACGAAACGTTTGCCACAAAATTGTCAAGCCTTGCGAACAGTTCAGCCGCCATTTAAACAACCTGAGCTACCCGTCTTCAATTCTATTAGCCATGGCCAGTTCATTTGGCGACTCCGTCGGAGTCTGAGGTCTAAAACGCAATTGCAGTCCTTAATCGTTTTTGTGCTGCTAACCTGGATTTGCTCACACGCGCAATATTTAAGGATGGTGGTGATGTCCTCTTTAATGCACTAACCTCCCAGTTCGAGTTGGTCTGGAATGCAGAGACCATCCCAGGTAACTGAAGTGAATCAGAGCAGTGAGATGACATAAGTTGCGACATGTCAACATTTCGATTGTTCTCATCAGTCAAAAACATATATATATATATATATATATATATATATATATATATATATATATATATATATATATATATATATATTGCCTCTGTCATCCTTCATAGACTGAATGGCACTTGTGAAAGCCATATTCGTGACGAACAAGCCGGGTTTCGTCGCGGTCGTGGCTACATTGACCACATCTTCACTTTGCGTCAGTAGTTGGAGCATCGTCACATATATTGGCGACCCACTGTTGTCGGTTTCCTCGATATCAAAGGTACATTCGATTCGGTGGATAATCGTGCACTTTGGGAATGTCTACTCGGGAAAGGTGTACCTGAGAAATATGTAAATATTATCCGATCATTATACGCGCGTAGCTCAGGCAGAGTGAGGGCTTACGGCAAGTTGTCTTCGCCCTTTAATATCTCCAGCGGTGTGAGACAAGGATGCCCGCTGTCACCTTTCCTCTTCAACTTTGCTATTGACGAAGTCATGGAAATCGAGTTCACAGGACATGACTTTGAAGTTGTGGATCTGCTCCCAGGAGAACGACTTCTTGACTTGGAGTATGCTGACGATATTGCCCTAATCTGTGACAGCTCCCAGACCTGCCAAGCGGCGCAGGACAGATTAGCACTAGCTGTCCGTCACTTCGGGCTTTGCTTCGCACCCTCGAAGTGCAAAGCGTTTCTCCAAGATTGGTCTGGACTGCCTCCTTCACTAACCCTTGTTGGGGATCAGCTAAAGTCGTTCAAAAATTCAACTACCTGGGAAGTTGTATCAGTGCCCGTGGGATTGAAGATGAGACCACGAACCGTATAGCAAAAGCTTGGGGCGCCACTTATGGCGCAGGCGCGACATCACTTTTGCCCTGAAGGGTAGAGTGTACAATGCAGCGGTACGTTCGTACGTACGTAGTTACGGTTGTGAAACCTGGCCCCTTAGATCAACTGACATAAAGAGGCTTGTTACGTTCGACCACCGGTGCCTTCGTAATTTAGCTCACATCTGGTAGGAACACCGCGTGAGCAACGAGCGTGTTCGGCGCCTTGTTTACGGCACAGGAAAAAGAACTGAACCGCTCAGCACCGTTATTTCACGCACCAGCCTCCGATGGCTCGGCTACATGCTACGCATGACAGCCGACTGCGTCCTCGACGTGCGTTGTTTGCGCGCCATGAGGGTGGATGGAAGAAGAGGAGGGGTGGCCAAGTGATGACTTGGTCCAGAGGAATGAAGGTCCTCACTTCGAAGCTGGCCTCAGTTGAAATGTCTCGGCTCCCTGGTTGTGGTCCGAAAAACGATGAACACGTTTGGCTGGATGCACTTGTGGATATGGCTAGGAACCGACCTCAGTGACTTTCTCACCCCATCCCTCTTAGGCTCTCCATCCAACTACGATCTCATTATTTAACATTTTATAATTTTACATATTAAATTATGTTTTTTCTTGCTGCATACTAGCCGGCAGGTAGCTTTCCGGGTCGATGCCCCTCCGTTACTGGTAGCTCAGCTGGCTTGCACCTGTTGCATTTTATTCCGGTATATATATATATATATATATATATATATATATATATACGCTGCCTTATTGACGAACACTGTTTGGAAAGTCGCATGTTTGGCAGTGGACAACGGGACTTTGTTGGTGTCCCCTGTCAATACCAAAGGATGCGCATCAGTCGTTCTTTGAGTAGGTGGACATACCTCATACAGCAGATGACTGAACCGGTCGCAGACACAGAGAGCCGGAAGTGGATACTGCATCGGATTCACATGCTGTGTGATCATCTCCCCTATCAGCTACACAAATCAGACTGTACATGTGAGGGTAACATCTAAGTGCATACTATTTCACTGCACCCGTAATTTAGTTGTCCTTCTACCTAGCAGTTGCTTCACTATTGCTATATCCGGTTCCTTCAAATATGGATGCTC